AAAAAAAAAAACTTAAAATGACTACTACTCGTATATTACATCAACAAAGATAAATAAATAGAAATACTAAATCAATATACATACATAATATACAATAATAATATTTTTTTTAATGAAGATAACATTAAATTGTTATAACAATAACTAAAAGATCAATCTTCTTCTGTAAGATTTGTACCTAGTAAAAATATTGCTGCATGATTTTAAACAGTAGATACCTACCTACCTATCTTATTTCTAAATTATCAAATAGAACTTTACTAAATTAGACGCATGCATTATATTTATTTTTATTACTAATTATTATACTTGTACTCGCCGTAAAATAATACCGAATCGAATACGTTAAAATCAATGTTACTTTAATTTGTACGGTAACATTTTAAAAATGGGACCCGCAACGACAGCGTCCGGAAACTGAGTGAGATGTAAGTAAGTTCTTTGTTTTTGAGCTTCTAATATATAGGGAGGATCTACACATTTCTCTCCCCGTTCAATGTTACTTCTTACAATTTCTGGAATTATATAGTTTATATAAAATTTCTCTAATTTAGGTAACATTATATGTATTTATCCACAAATTTTGGTCTCTAAAAATTCTTTCTATAAACAATGGATTTTTGTCGCCAGTGTAGACCACAAAATAGCAAGAATTTTTGTCGGCAATGTTGAGCTGGCCTTGGATCTAAAAAGAAAATGTTATTTGTTTTTTAGAGTCGCAATTTTTACAAATTGCTACCTGATAATGATAATTATGCTTTTGTTTTAAGCAGAGCATATTTTCTCTTTTATCAATACAGAGACCAACTATTTTTTTTTCAACTGCTTCCTCTAGAAATATTTTTTTGTTATCTATATTGGTAAGACATTCAATCTCTAAAATGTCATCATCGCCCACAAGACCTATAATAAATGATCGTTTTTACTGTACTATACACATACACACACCTAAGTAAATAATAGGAATAATAATATTTCAAACGTTGTGAATCTTTTTTGTAACATGATAATTAGTAAAAATTGCATTTTTTAAATTATCAATTATTGTGTATTAATTATTGTTAATATAATTTGTTATTTGCGCCTAAGTAGCCATATTTTGTTCCTTATATATAAATAAGCCGTTTTCTTTTACTGCTAGGCCCGTTTCTTGCGCAAATCTTTCTCGCACAAAAGACTCTTTTTGTTTTCCAAACTCCACACAACGTTTGAAATACAATACAATACAATTCCTACATTCGGGAAGTTCACAAATCGTACTCAAAGTCCTCAAACTATACAAACTATTACAATTTACTGCAAAATAATTTTAATAGGTGTAATTTTTTATTTTTAAGTTGTGAATAAGTTTTTGTTGTTTTTGTTTCACCAAATTCTTCCAAATTATTTAGCCGATCGTATAATACAGGGTGATTCTTAAGTAGACTGACAAACTTTTATCCTTGGGTAGTATCAAATAAGTACATGCTGGAAAAAATATTTAAAAAATTCTTTGATTAACCGTTCTCCAAATAAAATTTATTAAAGTTATTTTTGAGGTAAAGCGTACGCCACTGATGTGTTCGTAAAGAATGTACTTGATCATTGCAACAATTCATAAACGCCGTAAGTGGCACGGATCAAGGGGGTTTTGCTCTTAAAAGGTATAAACGTAAAAAGGGTACAGTTTGTGTCTACTTGTCCTTGGGAAGCTATGAAAAATTCAGACTCCGTAGTTGTCAAAAATGTGTAAAAATAGCGGTGCATCCGAACTACGGTCAGCGGTCAGAAGCTGAATAATCCGACACCTGAATTGCGGTCAAAGAATTTTAACTTACCTGGTCGTCTCTAATCTTATCTCGAACTGCGGTCAAGAAAATTTTACTTAAGTACCTGTTGGCCTTCCTGAATTGCAATTAAACTTTATTATATTTAATTTAAAACTTTGGAAACAAACATATATTTACAAAACAGTATTACAAAACTTGTGAGACACGCATTTAACATAATCATACCTACAATATTTGTTTTGTTAAGTTGTTCAATCTTAAAGTTAATAAAATTCTGGTTTTGGATGACATTCTTCCTAACTTTTCTATGTATACCTAAAGCTATTGAGTTAATTCTGACATATGTATCTGTCTGCATAGCCTTCAATGAATTAAAAAAAACATAGAGATTTGGGTGTACGGAAGAACAATAATTATTAAATAAATTTTGAATGAAATGACTCACATGAGTTTGTGGTTTTTAAAAGAAAGCAACCGGCACATACATATTATTAGCGTAAACGTGGATTGTGAACATTTGCAAAAAGTATTTGGCGCAATAGTCAAATGTTCCATCAACAAAGAATATTTGTTGATTACACATGAATTGCATGTTACTTTCACAAGAAAATATTATTATGTGAGATAGTGAGTGTCCGACACGTAGGTAACTAGGTATACAATTAAAATCAGACAATTATACAGGTTCAGGTTCCCACCACTTATCGTTAATATTTGGCCCTTAAGGGTGTCCGCGACCAACGATTCGAGACGTTAGTATATTGAAAACAAGATTACTCTCTTAATATGCAACAGAATTTCATGTATTATACATCAAAACAAAGGTTTTTTAAATCTACAGGCCGATACGTTGAGATTTTTCTAAAAAAATTTAATACTTACCTACGGTAATACTTACTTACGGTAGACCTAAAGATTCGTTTTAGGGTTTTGGTATTTATTACAAAATATGAATTCTTAACAAATTCAACAAACACCATGTAATAAAACACTGTTGTTTTTAAAATATTAATAAATATATTTTGCCCAAAAATGCCTACTAGTTCATTGCTTTTGCCACTAGAGGCGTTGCCAGCGCCGCTTCTGTGGAGGATCGAGGGTCTCTACCTGCCCTTGTACCAACCCAAGCAAAGGACGGATTACGGTCATCTTTATCATGTAATTAGCATAATAATTTTCAGTTATTAATATTAGAAAACTAGAAGCAGAAACATTTGACGTGAAATGAGAAAATAAGCTAATTTTGTTGGAATTGTACTTCTACCGAATCTGCCGTGTTTAGTAGACCTGACCATTTTTTTTTCGATAAAATGTGTGCCTTGTTGGGATCTAAGATTATTTATTATCTCTGAGAGAGTTTTAATAAATAGCAACAATAATCAGACAAAATAATTTATCATACAACAAATTTACACYTATTATTAATTAAACAWATTTCGCCACCATAGTAACTAAATTGACTTATCCGTTCTGAAAAACTGTATTTTGGGTATTGAGTACCTAATATAACCATTTTTCATACTATTTTATTGGGTCCAGCAAAGACTCAGCTTGTTTCGGAAAATGGAACATGTGAGTTTTCTAATTTAATAAATATGTACAACCTATCAGGTAGATAGAATAATTATAATTAATTTTTTTTAAGATCCAAAAGTCAAAACAATTTGTAAGAAATTTCAGGAGCAACTTCCACAAATTCAAGGCATAAAAATATTAGCGAACTAATCTTTTACTTTTATTACAATTTATTACTCTTACTAACCCAACCCCTGAACGCAGGTAAAGACTGAGTTTGGACCCTGTCTAGGGTGTATTGCTGGTTGCTTTTAAAAAAGAATAATAAGTGCTGAAAACCGACTTGCCGGTTCACTCCCGGACAGCCTTAAATTTTTCTGAGAAAGGAGGTATGTCATTAAAATTAATATTTAATCGTTGACCGCAGTTCGGGAGGAGATTAGTAAGACCGATTATGACCCTTTTTACCTGACGGTACTTGGACCGCAGTTCGAGTGCGCCCAAAAATAGCA